GGAAGAGGGCGCGGCCCGCGGTCGCCCTTACCATTTTCTGTTCCCTCCGTCGCCGACCGAGGCGCCGCCACCACAGCCGCCTTCTTAGCCGCCGCCGCACAGCAACTTCCAGCCGCGGCACAGCGCACACTGATGGCGCCACCACGCTCTACCATTGGCCCTCGCTGTAGTCCCGCCCTTACTAAAAGCCCTCTGCGCATTTCCATTGGCCAGACCTGCTAACGCACGCATCCATTGGTCGTCACGCCTCCTCTTTTCACCATCAAGTTCGGTTGAGAAAGCAAAGCCCCGCCCGGAACCAGCAAGCGCAGGAAGAGATCCGGAAATGGGCGAGGCCGTTCCGCAATGCCTTATGGAAGTTGTGGTTCAAAACTTCGGGAAACTTCGCCCCGCTCCCCGCGCACCTCTTACTAGCGCTATCTGAATCTTTTCGTACAGTGTCCCGTGTGAATAGGATCCAATACACTCCCAGCCTCGTTTCCCAGGTCTCAATCTTGGGTTTCAGGCCAGGTGAGTGGCACACACCTGTAATCTCAGTGCTTAGGAGGCTGAGGCTGGAGGATCTCTGTGAGTTCGAGGCCAACCTGGGCTATACAGTGAGCTCAAGACCAGCCTGAACGGAAGAGTGAGACCTTTTCTCAAAAAAATAAAAAACCAAAATCAACCTTGGGTTTCAATTGATTGCTACACTCTAGTTACCTGAATTATCATTCTTTTTTAATTTTTTGAGACAATTTCACATGTGGTTCAGACTGGGTTTGAACTCACTATGTAGCCCAGGCTGTAGCCCAGGCTGGCCTCCAACTCTCAGCGATGTTCCTGCTTCAGCCTCCCAATTACAAGTGTGTGCTGTCACGCCTGACCTCGAATTATCTTTGTACTGACAACTCAGACTCACTCAAACACCTCCCGTGGCTCCCTAGTGTCTTCACATCTCTAGCCTCACGTCCTGGCCCCCAAATTTCGGGCCCCTCTGGCTTCCCTCACCCACCTGTGTGGGTGTGAACTCTACCCAATCCCTCCCCGCAAAGACCTGGCCACTTCTTCCAAGAAGCCTTTGAGTGCATCTTTCTTAAAGCCTCATCCAGGCTCCTCCAGCCCCCTGTCCTACTCTCAAACCGCCTGGGTACAAGACCACTTACTTGCCCCACTGGACAGGTGGCCTTCTCGACAAGAATGCTTGCCTCACACGTAGCACAAGTTGGGTGAGCTGCTGAGTGGGTGCTGCGAAATGGGATTGTTCCAACCACCGCAGAGTGCAAAGGAGAAAGGATCTTTGTGACAGCCTGGGGGTGGGGGAGTCAGGCCTTGCCCCAAGTCACACCACCCACCCCGAGGGGCAGGCACTAGATCTAAGACCCCTCACCTCCTATGGAGCTTTCTCAACCTCTATGTTATAATACGTATGGGGGGGGTGGGATTTATCTCAGTGACACTGTGCCTGCCTTGAAAGGTCCTGAGTTCGATCGCAGGTACCGATTAAAAAAACAAACAAAAAAAGCAAGTAGAGATTTGGGTATGTAGTGGACATTTAATGATATTTAGAAAGTACTGATCATTCGGGGATAAATGCGTGATAAATTCGTGGCTACGCTTTCAAGAGCCCTCATCTTGGAGACGCAGTCCGAAAATAGCCACAGAAAAATAATACGATGCCTGAGATCAGCTTCGGAGTAACTCGGGGGAGGCGGGGGGCCGTGAGTGGCTGGCGGTCACGCTGCGTGCTGGGGACAAGGGGTGCGCAGTTGCCTTCCGTGGACTGCTGCGGGGGTGCGGAAGTCTCCGCAGTGCAATCGCGCCAAGAGGACCCCGGCCCGGTGCGGCTCCTCAAACCCCACGCCAGCCTTCAGCTCACACGCTGCGGATGTCCGAGGCTGCGGTCTT